ATATATAATTATTGCTTTGCGCATTCAAATTAAATCTTTCTCTTTTTATTATATATTTTTTAGACTTCTTGACCTTCGTGTTTTTTCAATCTACTACGCTTATGTATATATAATGCACTAAAAATGCACCAGATATAATTTTGAGCGTCTCGCTTGGCGCGTAGTGCAAGCGTTAGTGTTAGTAGACAGCTGACTATGGCTGTGCTATGTTTTATTTAAACTACTAATATGTAGTAGTAGTAGTAGTAGTAGTATGTCATAGATGAAGGAGTGTATAAGTGAATGATTTTTTTAGTCTCATTCATTGTCAGTATACAAGACAGTCTATATCAGAATATATACATTTACACGAAAATTTCGCAAAAAAAACACTGACCTTCATCTCGCAACACTGTCCTTAATAAGTGATTGGCCTTGAGCACTAGAGTTCGAGTTCGTTCTACAGAGGAGAATAGACTTATAGGTTATAAAAACATACCGCAAGACACCGGCGATTTATCCGGTTAAGAATATTATATAAATATAATATATAAATTATATAAATATAATTATTTCTCGTGAAATGTACATATATAATAATAATGATAATTTTTAACTTTCAGTTTATCATGGCTAGTGCAATGGAAATGGTATGCAACACTCTTGGAATTGACAGGGTAAACATGGACGGTAAAATAATCTTGATTGAAGAGCAACACGGTACCAATGCAAACTTCTTGGTAAACGCCATTCTGTCGCACGCGTTAAAGCAGATGAATGCCGTTTGTCTTGTTCTATGTCATAATACCTTTAGCCACTATCACAACATTGGCATGAGACTCGGCTATAACCTTCTGGCTCTGAAGGAAAAAGGCCAGGTAACTGTTGTCGAGCCAATGAAAATTGTAACCACCAATATCGCTGATATACGTAAGGATTCTGTGGATAAAGAGAAAATGATAATCCCAGATGCTGTTTCTACTGAGAATATAGATATTGCGCATAGACTTTTTACATGTGTTAGAGAGAAGTACAATGAAGCAGCAAAATTCGACGAGTCTGTTGTTGTTATTTTCGATGATATAAATCATCTACTTGATTTTGGCCTCAGTGTACATGACGTTATGTACTTTGTAAGATACTTAAGGTCATTTCTAGCGTTACATCCCTCATCACAGCTTTGTATTCTTACACACACATATCAAGATAATTCGCAGACTTCAAATACAGATGTAGTCACTAATGCCTTGAAACATATGGCGCATTTATGTGTTACAACTCAACCGTTTAGGACAGGAAACTCCAGCGATGCATCCGGTAAACTAACTATTCACTGGAGAATAGATTCCATTAGATCAAAATATCACTGGGCCGAGAAAACAACGCATCTATTTAAATTGTTGGATTGGCAAGTGAAAATTGGTGCGCCTGGTGCAGCATCTATTTTATCATAGATAATTGTATGATCATTTTATATTGTATATTCAATCCTTGATAATTACTTTTTCTGCAATATTTTATATTGAATTTGTATATATTTCTACAATACATTGAAATAAATTTAAAAAATTTATCCATTTTTTATTAAGAATAGAGAAAGAATCTTTCATTTATTTATGATATATGTATTTTCTATCCTTTGTGCGAGAAGAAATTTAATTTAGTCATGAGACCATAAAAATAGAAATATTAAATATTATATTATATTTTCTATATCTATGCATGAGACACACGAGTCAAGCATGAAATCTCAAGAAGCAAAGATAGACATACTTCACACAACACACAGCTATATATTCAGTTTTTATTTATGCTTTATTACATACATAATGTCAGCGCATTCTAATCATCAAAAAATAGTGCTTTTCGTTTATCAGATAAATGGGCACGAAGCAGAGTATCTATGAAAAACCCGGTACTTTGGATTATTATAAACTCAGCGCGAAAGAATATGCACTGGTTAAGAAAGTATGGTCAGGTATTGAAGTTAACCCGCAATTTCATGGTAACGCTTGTCTCAGGAGGTGTGTAATATCGCATATTAATAAATAAAAAGGGAATTTTATATTTTTAATTGTGACAAACAATGATTGAAAGAATTCATATCATCTCTTTCGATGGGTTTTCAGCTTTTGCGAGACTCATCCGCAATACGTGAAATTTTTCACTCAGGAGTCGAAATTGCATTTGAGCTTTGATACACGCGTTACGGCCAAATTTGCCGTAATTATGGAAACCATGGGATATCTTCTGCTGGATTTTAATAAGAAGCCGAAACAGTTGGATCGATTAGTCGGTTACATAGCTATGGTACATAAGGACATGCAATTAGATGAGCAAGATATGCGTGTACGTAGAGTTTTCATTATTTTGTCGACGCAAAAAATATAATAAATTCTCTTAGAAATTTTAATGAGAGATAAATCGATCATCGTCATCGACGTTTTGCCAAATCTTTTGTTTAGAACTTTGTGACATCCTTATTTGATTACTTGTCGCGAACGTATCCCACGCAGATGACTGTGGAGTGCCAGGGAGCGATGTCCAAGTTCATGGAGAGCGTTATAAAGGAGCTCTTTGTAAAAATGGAAACCTTCCGCAATTACGATGTCGCGCAATCGGAAGTGACAACGCGATCGAAATTGGTAAAGAATGCATATAACTTGATCTCGAGACAATGGCGTTGAATAAAACACTTATTATCTAAATTCTATCGTATCACACATCAATTTTATATTGGAGAATACTACGCGGAAAATGCGTTCTCTTAAAAATATTATATTGTTTACAAAATTTGTTCGCATTTTTCGTTTAAAAATCATAGAAGAAAGCAATATTTTTGTATCAATTTCATATTGTCTATATAAAAATTTGTGCATATATACACTATTGAAATAATTATACATTTCCATTATGCATTACACACATTCGATGTATTTTCGATATAATCATATATAAAAAAAGATAGTCCTCGAATTTATTTACAATTAGTCAAACTTTGATATTCTTTAAATATTGGGACTGCACAACTCATTTATTTTCAATTTTCTCTCAAATATTCATTTATATTTTAATTTAATATATTTATTCATATTCTAATTTAATTTAATCTAATTCTAGTTTAATTCGAAGACTGTAAATATTGCACAATGTTTTCATTATTTCACACAGATACGCGATGGATATCCTAGGATAGCGCAAGGATATTCGTTGAATATGTTTGTCGTATTTTCTATTATTCATTTTATTCGCGCGGACTATAATCAACTCGATCAATTTCCTCCGATAGCGTAGCCGTGGGGACGATGTCCACTCTTCGCCGAACCCCCGATATTCGGCAAGACCAAGTTGTATTGGGATGAATGGAAGAAGCAGTGGGACACGCGGATGAAAGAATGGGCGGCACAGGCAGCACTCGTCGCTCAAGAGCCGAGTAAACCGATCTCCACAAACGACACGTCGGGATTGAAATCGAGGAACGATCTCAACAATGAAAACGAGATCGGCTTGTTGCAACGGAAGGCCTCCGAATTGGTACGGAAACGAACTGGCTCGGACATATCCGCTTCCAGGCTGGCGGTAAATTATTTTCACATATTTATGACTCATTTCTGATCAACAGATAAAATTATTTCAACAATATCCGTTTTTTTCTGGCCTAAAAGTTTCACTTGATCCTTCAGGGTATCTCGATTAATAGCAATATAAAAATAGTGTTTCAAGAATAAATTCGAAATATTTATCGAAATATTCTGTAATATTTTTTTTTTATATTCTCACTAGTAACTGAGATATTTTCGGGTTGACGAAAATCTCCTAACGTACGGTACCAAAATATTCATTTATATTTTAATTTAATATATTTATTCATATTCTAATTTAATTTAATCTAATTCTAGTTTAATTCGAAGACTGTAAATATTGCACAATGTTTTCATTATTTCACACAGATACGCGATGGATATCCTAGGATAGCGCAAGGATATTCGTTGAATATGTTTGTCGTATTTTCTATTATTCATTTTATTCGCGCGGACTATAATCAACTCGATCAATTTCCTCCGATAGCGTAGCCGTGGGGACGATGTCCACTCTTCGCCGAACCCCCGATATTCGGCAAGACCAAGTTGTATTGGGATGAATGGAAGAAGCAGTGGGACACGCGGATGAAAGAATGGGCGGCACAGGCAGCACTCGTCGCTCAAGAGCCGAGTAAACCGATCTCCACAAACGACACGTCGGGATTGAAATCGAGGAACGATCTCAACAATGAAAACGAGATCGGCTTGTTGCAACGGAAGGCCTCCGAATTGGTACGGAAACGAACTGGCTCGGACATATCCGCTTCCAGGCTGGCGGTAAATTATTTTCACATATTTATGACTCATTTCTGATCAACAGATAAAATTATTTCAACAATATCCGTTTTTTTCTGGCCTAAAAGTTTCACTTGATCCTTCAGGGTATCTCGATTAATAGCAATATAAAAATAGTGTTTCAAGAATAAATTCGAAATATTTATCGAAATATTCTGTAATATTTTTTTTTTTATATTCTCACTAGTAACTGAGATATTTTCGGGTTGACGAAAATCTCCTAACGTACGGTACCACTTTTCAGCTGTTAAGTCTTAGCAAGACGATCACCGTTGAGCGTTCGCCAGAGCGAATTATTAGCCCGCCAAGACGGGCTGAGAAAGAGCGTCCTCAGCGGCGCGTTTCACTTCGTCTTCCGGAAATTACGAACACTTCTCGTGAAAGACATCGCGCTAAAAGTTTTACTCAAGACGTTTCGAAATCGCAAGACGATGCAACATTAAGCATGACCATGGATAGCCTAGAGCTTTAGGAATCGTCTGAAATCGCTGCCGTTAAGCTGCACAGTACTGCTCGTGAGAGACGTCGAGAACGTTTCAATGCCGATCTAAAATGTTGAAGAAGAAAGGTAAAGGACACATTTTATACAATATTAAATATAATACATTTTTAAAGTTGCGTCTATCATCGATTTCATATCGCAAATCATTAAAGCGCATCATAGTTTCTCGATATTACTATATAGAGTGCAAACCGCGTAAAATAAAAATGTACGTTTATTTAATCTTAATTTTTATAAGTATTGATATATATAATTTTTTTTATAAAAAATATGATTAATTTTGGATAAATGCGATATAATATAGATATTCCCGTAGAAGAATAAACAATGAATTCTTACCTCAACTACCTGGTTCGCGATCATCACTTCTCGCTCGAGAAACCTTGTAACGACCATCGTCATTGTGCGCGAATCGCATCGATTTTATGTTGTCGTCGCTCGCTATTCGACGAAGTTTCTTGTCGCTGATGTAAAAGAAATGAAGAATTGGATTAATAAGAGTATATAAAACAAGATATATAGACAGAGAAACAAGAGAAAGAGAATATATAAGATAGATATAAATTTATATAATTAAAGCAGCTAAAGCTCTCTGCCGTTCTCTGAATTAATAAAATGCTGTTTTTTGAAAAAACGCCTTTTTTGAGTGCGTTCTCTTGTATACATAGTATGCAATATCCTATGTATGTGTATTAATTGTCATGTGAATGAGGTGGAAATTTCTTACTAATTTCGCGAGTTCGCCGCCGATATCGGCGGAAATAAGGCGGCCGGAGAAATCAACGGTTGTACTACTGGTCCCATCACGTGCTCCGCTTCCTCTTGCGGTTCGTGAATCGGCGGTAATGGCGAGTCCCAATCGGAATCCGTGGAACTGTTTTTCAACAACATTTTTGTTTAATATGCATTACGCATTTAATATACGTAATTTTTCTCGAACGAGGCGAGAATCTAATTTTGAGAATAGTCTTGCTAATCCAGTTAAAAAAAAGTCGATTCTATTTTTACCTGCTGGCTATTCTCATGTCGCTGCTGAGATTGTTATAGCTGAGTCTGCTGGATATAGGCGGCAATCTTCCGCGACTGAACGACGATACAGTCGGAGACACGACGAGATCGCCGAGGCTGCTGTCGATGTACGTCGCGGCCTGAATCTCTTGCTGATACAAAGCATAAAGATTCTGCAGGTCGGCCGGCAGCGCCAGACGGCCATCTGTCATTCAGATTTCATTAATTAAATAAAAGAATTTAATTTTGTAGAGAAATAGATTTATATCAATTTTAATTATAATTTTTAATATTTTAAATAATAATAATTTTTCAGGTACAATTAAAGAAGAATATTATATACACCGACTTTCCATGATCCGCCGTTGCCTGGTGATGATTTCATCGGAGATCTGCCGTTGTCGATCGTAACGAAGCAGCAGCAACTCGCGACGTCTAAGCTCGTGCTGTTTAACCAGCCTCTCGCTCTGCAACATCATTTTGTCCGCCTCGAGCTCGTGGACTCGCAGCATCAACGCCAACAGCTCCCGTTCCTCGTCCGAGTTGATACGCAACGGCAATTCCTGAAGAAATGCACGGCATTTTTTTTAGATCGGATTTTGAGAACTTCGAATTTAACAACTAGATCGAGATGTTATTTTATCGACTCGTTATCGTAATGATAAAAATAAGCAATATAATAAAAACTTATGTACCACAAGTTTTTATTGTATTATTTATTTTTATCAGGATCTATTATTTTTTTGTTTCTCTCTTTTTTTTTTTTAATTTTGCTTTTAATCGAGATTATAATTAAAATAATAAGTTACAAAAATTCTTTTACATCTTCGAGTTCAGCGCTGCGTTTTCGACATATCTCGAGTTCTTTCTCCGCGACGATGCGCATCTCGGTGTATCTCTCCCGCTCCTTCGTGATCTCCGTCAATTCCGTCCACGCTTGTTGTATGGCCGCATCATCTTCCAGATCGTCCTTTAAGAGATCTAAGCGATCATTAAGATATTGTCTTTACTGTGAGCAATTCGGCGAGCTAGTTTATCGAGCTAATCGATATTTGGTAAATTCTCGTGAATTTAATTTTCTGTTTAATTTCTGAAATCTTTTAAAATCTTGCATTTTTTTCCTTTAAATAATAATTTTAGATGAAGTGGGAAATGAATTAAATTAAAACTAAAGAGAAAAACACTTGCTTTTTCAAATTAAATATTTTTTATATAATAATATTTGTAAAGGAAATATGGATTTATATGAATATGACAAAGGTTAAAAATTTATTTTCTTAATATTTTAGCAATGGTATTCAACTCTTTAATTTGTAGTAAATCTTTGTTTAATATATGATAATCAATATCATATCTTTTCTATATTATATTATATCAATAGCTCAATTTGCTCACCCACGTCGTCTGTTTCATCCACTTGGTAGTCCGTGTCTGGACGACCTGTCTCGGAATCCTGCGTTTTTCCATAAACCCTATTGTTCTTCGATTCCCAATGCGAGATTATGGAATGTTGCTGTTCGGCAGCGATATTCAGACCCAGTAAATGACTGTCCAGCTCCATTAACTTTCTCCTATGAAATTAAACGATCCTTATATGTATCTTGAGTTCCGCTCATCGATACAAATCGCAAAGCGTTAGCAACAGTCAGAGGTTCAAGATCAATTTATTAAATATTAGTTGAGATATAAAAGATAAATATTCAATTTCTATATGGTATTTATTATTATCTTTTCGCGCACACGTACCTCAGACGCATCTGTTCCTTAAAAGCAAACACGATCTTCTCCCTTAATGATCTGAAATCATTGTCGTGCGCGTTATCTGACATTTTCTCCTCCGATTCCTTCCTCTTTGGTCTGTCACCTTTCATCTTGTTTCGCAGACGCGAGATCTCGTTCTTCAAATCGCTGATTATGTCGTGGTACTGCGTGACGTGCAGATAACTGACGTTCAGCACATTCTGCTCGACCTTATTAGAGATCCTATTGGCGCGATCCGCATACATCAAGGTATTCTTGCTTTCGTCGCGATGCGCGCTCGACGGCGACACGTGGACGATCATGACAGTTCGGCAATTGCCGCTTAGGGTGTCCTTCAGCAACCGCGTGAGCTTGGAATCGCGATAATTTACATATCGCGCACCACCGGATAGCGCGTTGATGCAATTGCCTAGCGCTAGAAGAGATCTATTAATATGCGCACCTTCTTGCAGCCTTTTGCCTTTGTTCTGTAACATTAAATCGAATAAAATTTTAGAAGTATTTCTTACGATTTATCTAGAGGATAAATCCTGAGAAACCAAACAAACTCTGTTTTTAGCATTTCCTCTCAATCTATTCTTATTCTATTTCAATAGCAAAATAAAAAGGTTTTAAAAATTCCGTAAATAATAAAATTCCATAAATAATAAATTTCCATAATAATGTTTTTATTCGATACAGAACAAGAAAAGATAAAAACAGAGATGCCAAGAAGAGGGAAAGTACAAATAGCACTTCAAAATGAAATGAGATTTACAAAGTAATAATGTTTATGAATTTAGAATATGAAAAAAATAATTATAAATGCTATAAAGTTGACAACAACAAAAAGGATCTGTTAATATTATAATCTTTAGCGAACGAGAATTAAGGTCGATTTACTTTGGTTTGCTTCGCTCGCTCGGATCCGGCGAGATCGATCATAAATAATCTTCCTTGCTTTATTTTAGTGTGCAGACACTTATCACTATCCTGGATCGAGTGAGAAGACTGTCTGACCGTGACGCTAAGGAGTGCGTGACTTCGCGATGAGGTTTTATTCGCGGCTGTTGGTTCTATCGTCCTCGCTTTGTTACCTCTGTGTAACAGCTGCATAACCTGCGAACAAAATAAATTAAATAAAATAAATAATTAAATAAATCGTTTGTAAATTTTTAATCAATTCGTATAATATGTTTAAATAGTCGTCATACTTCTTCGGTCGAATTGGTGGAGATTTCCGTCAATCCTGAGACCTGAATGTTACGACCCCGCGTGTCGTCGCGTAGATCCAGGTATCCCGAATTGGGATTCAGAAGATCGCGAATGTTCTCGTTGTAAATCTCCATGTATGACATTGTTACCTATATGACGGGATAAAAATGTAAGGTGTTTCACAATTATAATTAAACAAAAAAACGGGAGAATTTATTGCGCTTTTAAAACTGTTCGAGGAAGTTATTCGATAATTTTTGAAGCAGGCAAATCTACTTTGCATTGAATTTTGTTGCGGATGAATAAATATTTAATTGTTCGAAACATGATGAAAATAATCAAGAAATGATTGAATTATTTGCGAAAGAAGCGCGTGTATACACTCTATACAATGCATCGATAATAAAACAGTCACGAAATTTAAAGAGCTAGAATTTGAAAAAAATTGGAAGGAATTTTTCCGATTCGAGAAACTCACCGTAAATTTCGCGTCGTCCGGTAATTTTTTGGCCGCTAAGAAAATGTCATTCAGAGCACGTACCATGATCCCAGGATTCGATGACGTCCCTACCATTGTATGCGTCTTTCCCGAGCCTGTCGCACCATACGCAAATACGGTGGCGTTGTAACCATTGAGAACATCTTGCGCCAAATTTTTCGTCGTCTCTTCGTAGACCTCTTCCTGAAAGAATTACAATGATACGTTTTTGTGAATATAATGTATTTTAATAAAAGATGTAGTATATATGATATCTTGAGTTGACAATTAAAATGAATAAAATAATTTGCCTGGGTAGAGTTCTCTCCGAAAACTATGTCGTAAAGATACTGTCGCGGTGCCGCACGTTTTTGCTTATCACCGTCTTGATCCTCCAGCATCACCATCTGAAAATTCAATATCACACGAAATATTTTCGAGAAATTTTTCGAATTTGAGCAAATTAAATTAGCATAAATAAATATGCATTTGTTTACTCTAATTTTAGAAAATTAAATTAGCAGTATAGTAAAAATAAATTGACACGCAAACTTACTTTATTGTTAACAGCGTGCAAACATCTGGTACCGTTTTCGTTGTGAGCCAAGGGACGGATACGAACTGCGACCTGTAATCAAAATACGACGATGTATTATCAAGGGTATACGATAATGATAATTATCTTGGGGTCTATGAACGAAGGAAAGAATTAAGAATCTTTTTATTCGTTTTCTTTTGTTACTCTTGTCTGTCGAGTTACAGACATAGTTAATGACAGACTCAAATACAATGATTCAACATCGATTTGTTTTTTTGCAGAATTTTTTGTTTTACTAATATTACTTTAGGAATCGCATCGTTTTTGTAGAGATCCCAAACTGACATCGCGATGCTGAATTTTTTATAATGACGTATTTCATTTTTGTAGAGAAAGATAATATCGTTCGTGTGCTTAACAGTCGCTTATGAATCAGATCTAATTATTCGAATATAACTGAAGAGTAGTTTGATGTGATGTTATAAAAACATAAAAAAATGTTTGGAATACAAGATGATACATTTGAGAGTATATTTAATATAGTAAAGAGTAACTTTCTAATATATAAAACGTGAAAAATATTTAACACAAAATATAGACTTTTTAAATATTTTATTTCAATACTTTTATAAAAAATCGACATTTAGATATATATAAAAAATTCTATGACTTTATTTACAACAATATTGCAATTATATCTTGCAGCTGCATCGATGCATCTTTGAAAAAAATGTGATAGAATAATAGATCATATTAAAGATGGTTTTTGTGTGTAGTCTTTTCTATTAATTAAAAATAATATTTGTGTGTGTGTGTGTGTGTGTTGGTATTCGATTTCATTAATCTCAAACGGACTACGTACCATGAGTTTCTGCTCCAGCACTCTTCGATCTCCGCGATCTTTAAATTCATTCACGCTGCTGCTGCTACTGCTGCTGCTACCGCTACTATATTGCGTCATTTTTGCACAATGTAATTATTCCACGCTTTGTCATGAAAATTAAGATCAACTGTTTCAACCCGTCCAACAATGTTAATGAAAGACGCGACCAATGATTGATTTAGACGCCCCGTTTATATAAAGTATCTACACGTGTATAAGATTCATATCGCTATGCAATTATTTTCGCTTCAATCATATAAATATTCATCGTCGCACTTCTCGCACACAAGTAAGAAAATTTTGTACGAATAATTTTATAATTCGCTAAACCGTTGATGGCAAAAATTAAAGAAGCTTTATTGTCAGAACGAAGAATCACTGTAGAAAAAAAAATGTAGAAGAAAAGAATATTATTTAAAAGATTTCTATGTAATATATTTTTTCCTGTAGTACTGTAAAATACGTATACTCATTGTAAATAAATAATTAAATATACGTCGCAATTGATAATTGGATGCGCGTGTGCAATGTGCATTTAGTCGAACATACTCGAAAAGCAGTCGATAGTAGGTATATGTTATCGCGACACAGTCAGCCGACTAACTGAAGCACCTGTTCACCTGTACACATGTAAAGGTATCTACGAGGCCTATCACGCAAGGGTACGTAAGCTATATTTTCGAGTGCCGCGACATTCGACCGGGGGATCTGCATTAACAATGCCGATATTAATGCATAATGTGACAAACTGTTGCTGTCACATCACAGAAAATATTAAAGTAAAAGATCCATATATTTATAATAATCTACGATAACATAAAAATATTTATATTTATACATATCTCGGGATAAAACATAAAATATCTATATAATACGTGTTTAATATATTGAAAATTGGGAGATAATCGATATCGATAATAAGATGCGATACCGATGCAAAGTATTATTGTAACAATATTGTAAAAAAGTTACTTTTCAAGAGACTTATTTTTTTGTACCGTATAAAATGTTTTATTGGAACATATATCATAATTACGAGAGTCCAGAATTATATTCAAATCAATATTGGCAACGATAAATATTTTTTATATGGTCTGTTTTGGAGATAAAACATAACTGCATTTTTCGCCGGAAAAAAATGCAGTTATAACACTATTCATGCCGTCAGTATGAAGAAATTAAGCTGGTACGATGACCCCAATTAACTTTGCGGTACTTTATGTGATTATGTGCTTAAAGGGGGAGTTTACTTCAAGTTTCTTGGTGTTCAATTTGTGGAAGGAGAAACTCGATAAATTATTTATAAAGTAGGCGTACGAGAAGCATGTGTACTGCTTAGCTTATAGACGCAGGAGTTATATACGCAATATATGGCAATATTAATTCGATTTAAGTGGAATTAAAACTTCTCGCGTTTCGTTCAACAAGTTGCGCTTTCTTGATAAAGACCGCGATTAATAACACGAAAATGTCAAGGATGAGTGAGCACTCAGGAAGTTACATTTGTTGGCGTACGGCAATTTCATGATTGCAATCGATTAGTATCTATAGCATCGTATTTAACACGATGATTAATCCTTCTTGTGCAAGTGCTTTCAATCCACTGTGTACCGCGTTATCACAGCAATATATGTTAAACGATATTTATCCATTTCATATAGTGATAAAAGAACATTGATTGCTTTTTAACAACGTCCGCTTTAGATGAGTTATAATTAGCACAGATTTCTGTTTATAATTTCATAAGCCATCTATTTGTATCTCGCATATTGACAATACAAATAAGAAAAGTTTTACACAGAAGTATTCTATGACGTTTGTGACACCAAATTGAATATATAAGAAGTGTATTATTTAAAAAAATTAAATTTTTTGTTTGCTTAAGTATTAATTTTAATATAATTCTAGGCTTCCATATTTTTATTTTTGAAAAAAGATATTGTATAAATAATCCTCTATAAAAAGAATTTTACAACGTTTTTTATCGATGCCGTTGATATGTGTATATGTGTATTTTGATTCTTTAAATATTCTCTGTATAACATATAGTTTATAAAATTATAAATAGAATTATGTTTCAATTTCTGATTCGCGAATTATAGATTGTTAATGTAAACATACATCTACCTATACATCTATGTATCTATATTTTGATGGAAGCATCATAAATGCACTTACGCAAATTGCTTAATATACTTAATCTATTTTACATTAGAATTAAATAAAATAATCTATTATGTGAATATAAACATTAATATTAAAACAATTTTTCAACTTTTTTTGTGTATATATCTACTAATAAATCTAGTTTTATCACAAACAATGAGAAATTCCGAATTTTTAGAAAGCCCTACCCAATGAGCAGACAATATTTTTTAAATGTATTTTTAATATTTATTGTTCATTAATTGTACGTTGTACAATTGATTGTAAAAATAATATTTATTTAATTATTTATTTATTTTATATGAAATATTCGTTTGAAATAACAAATGTTAATATGAACATTTTTTTAATAATTAAAAGGGGACTTAACCTATTATTTTAATATTTATAAAAATGTTTTTCAAAAATTTTTAAGAACATTTTCAATAATATTGTCTGCTCATTGGGTATTTGCGTCTTGAATTACGGGGATGCAAAACCCGTATGTTTTCTATCCTTGCACGTGTATAGTTATCCGTTCCACTATCATTTTCTACGGACGAAAGTAATCAATGCCGGACACAGTTAAACATCGAGGTCAGCGGGGCTGGTTAGATATTGCCGATCGATATTTAGGAACGAAGAACATTAAATGAACATTATGCGGCATGTGGAAAAGAATTGCTACCTCTGACCTCCAAATAATAGCTCTAGATTATTGATAAAACTGGGAAAATTCGATAGAAATAATAATGAACGAGCTGGTCAATCAGTTTCCATTTTATACCGATTATGCAAGATACTATTTAATAATGTAAAACGGTAATATGACAGAACCATTTAATTGATTAACTTGGTAAAAATTTAGCGCAAATATGATATTTAATGAAAGAGAGAGAGAGAGAGAGAGAGAGAGAAATATAAAGATAATATCATACCGCTATTTTTTTTTAAGAATGCCCTAAAAAGTTCCAGCCGTTTAATTATTCTGCATAGATATATAGGAGAATTTTGTCGTGAAGAATTCACGCAAATTGCCACTTCTCAACCCTTCAAGCGACTGAAAGTGTCCTTCGGTCGAACCCTCTTACGTCGTTTCTCGAATACATATCCGTTTTGCTATAAAATCGCGCGCACGCAGATCGTATCTTTTCGTTCGACACGCACATGGAAAGATAGGAAATATTTCGAGGGCAAAGGGGGAAAAAAAGTCGTCATCTAAGATTTTGGTGATTCATTGTTTCTAATAAAAACGTGATTATACAATAAGATATAAAAGAAGCGTTAAGTTGCTCTAACATGCAAAGTGCATTTGTATCGTGATCAAACTTGATCTCTCTTGTAAAGGATGCTGTATAAATTACAATACCGATAAAAAATAGCGTATATTTATATAGATATTATGTGTATAAATAGATATTATATGCACTCTACTTCTCTAATCCTATTTTGTACGATCATTATGAATGATGTTATTGGAAAATATTCTAATTGCAATTTTTTGCAAAATGTTCGACAGTAATTTTTCATCAAAATTCGATTCAATCGCTCATGTTAAAAAGTCTATTACAGACATACAATTGTACTATGTATATACATATATATTAAGTATAAAAAATTTAAAAAAAAAGCCAAAATTTCGCTCCCGTGTATTAATTTGTATTAATTTTTATTTTTAGCAGAAAAACTATTATACATATAAATAATTTTCGAAAAATTAGTTTTGTATCTTTTTAATTGGAGCATTCCGTCGATTTCTATTGTCTTGTTTCTGTTTTCTAAATTTCATTGTACGAACCGAAGTGAACAAATTATTGCAAGATCTTAGATCCATATGAAAGACCAATAGAGAATATTGAATATGATGAATGATATGGGAAATACTATTCTGCTGCGCTTGTCGATCCACTGAGCGATTTCTTGCGGTGTCATCGTTGTGAAATTATGCAGCTTGGCGAGAGTCGGTCTGCGTGGAAATGGCTTAGGCGGTGGGGTACCGCTGTCGATGGTCGTGATGCTGCCGACACAACAAGGATCCGGATCCGGATCCTTATCCTCCTCTATTCTCACTGATGGGATGTTGAGTGTGCTCGGAAAACTCTGAAAATAATGAATACTATCATATACAATCGATATTATAGTTTTGTCGGGGAATCTGTTTGAAATAAGCCTCAGTGATTAAGATCATTCAAAAAATAAATTATGCGATAGATTTGAATTTCGTTTGATATCTCATTGAAATTTAAATAATTTAAAATTAAAGTAACTGTTCTTTTTCTCAAAGAGATTATTTTTCAATGTACTTTACAATATTGGGGAATAATTACGATTAATATATAATTAGAAATTATGTTTAATTAACGACTCACGTGTACGGTGAGATAATTTTGACTCGTAAAGTCTTGCTCGCTGTTCGTATTTGTGTTTTCTAATGACGACCACGATCGCGATCGTTCCAGTCCGCATGTATTTTTCTGGAATTGCTTTCGCGCTAATCGTGGCGTCAAAGTAGACTTAAGGATATATTTGCTGTTGACCTTTTTTAACGGTACATTTTTTCTGTACGTACAAATATATATGATACATTATCTCTAAGCAGTTTATATCAATTACTAGAATCTATATAGGTATTAAAATGAATATAAAAAAAGTCTCGACGAAGAATATTACATACTTTCTTCGATATATGGTATTAACGAAGGCGAACTCGACCATCGCCGCAAACAGAAATATCGTGCAGCCTAAAAACCAAATCTCACTTGCCTTTATGTAAGAGACTTTTGGCAACGAATTTCCCACTTTCGAGGCGAGTGTCATAAACGTCAAGATAGTATTCGTTCCTGAAAATATATAAACCTTTTGCGTGTACAAAAAAAAAAAATATTATTATCCACTGTATTACTGATTGTGCGAGAAAATACACAGATATTTTTACCTAGAACTATTCGCGGCGCACTCGCGTCTTGATGCAACCAGAATGATACCCAAGAAATTACTACGATTAGTATAGATGGCACATAATAATCCATCATGAAGAATCCCATTTCGCGTGCTAATTTAAATGTTATACTTATTGCGCTGAAATTTCCGGCTGTAATCACATCGTGGTAATTTTAGTAACAATGTGACACTTATTAAATCAAGTCGAAATATTCAAATCGATCGAGTTTTACCGAAATGGCCGTAATGATATTGCCACGAGCTGTAGGATACCCCGGAGCGATTCACCCACGTGTCGATGAGCTTATACTCTGTCAGATACAAATTATTCGCGATGACAATCGGATCCTTGTCCCAGTCCAATACCATTTCATTCACATTATGAGTCCCTAATGTAGGGGAAAAAAAATTATTCGCTTTGTTCGTGCAAGACATAATTTAGCATGTACATCGCAGAGTGCTAAAGTTGACACGATGTTTTTTTGCTAGTTGGCAAAGTAAAACAAGAACGTTTTAACTTAACTAACATGTGCCTGACTGAAGAAAGTAAGTTGGTTTACTCTAGCATTTCGAAGTATTACTATTGTTTTTTTTTGTACTATTAGCCTAGTAATATATAAATTATATACTAGTTGAAGTAACAAAAAAACATCATGTAAATCATGCTAATGATATGACAATCGCAACCTACAGCTTTCGAAAACCAGTGGACATTCTTGCACGTCAAACGGGAATTTTTCCAGATGGAGGCCGCAATTAAGTGTCGCTTCCAGTCTGAAATTCAAGTGATTTCTTCATAATCAATCTCTATTTCTGTTTAGTAATTTAGAAAATTTATATCGAAGTGACGTAAATAGAGGAAATCAAAATTAATTTAATTACTCGATTTCATCTAACCATATAAGATCCGTGATTCTCTCTTCGAGATTAAATATCACTGAATACCTCGTATTTAAAATAACCACGCCGTGAGGGTTGATGGAGATGAGCAGGTCCTTGACACCGCTACCCATCACTGCCGAGGTACGTTCATTCGCGACGTATACGGTAGGCGTCCAGATCAGAGCGTGAGCGTTTTGACCACCGTAAATTTGAGTCATGTAAGGAGCTATGTCCGAAAATTTCAGTCGTTTATCAAGATATCGGAATTGCAGCATCAGATGCACGTCAAATTGCTGCAACGTATCATTTATTCTGTTTTTATTATCGATCCTCGCGCGGTGATACTTATATATTAGACATTATCTGTGTGTAAGATATAAGATATGAGTAAAATTGTACCAGAGTTTTGGCCATGTTGGACTTTATTGTGTAGACAAAGGCTTTCGTGTAAATCCTGATCGGATCCGTAGCGTTAATCACTCCCGGTGGCCTGACCATTTTATCGTAACGACATTCGTTCGCCAATTCTTGCAAAAGTTCCGTTTGCGTCATGGAACTACTGAACGACGGGCAATTTCCCGATCTGTAATAAATGCCGAGTTTTCTTCAAACGCGCGTGAAATGTCAACTTTATTTTTAGAAATTATTAGATATATATTTCAGGCCGAAAGACGTGTGCTTTTTCAAGATTGCGATTTTAACTTTCGAATAAAATATAAAACTCTCTAATAAAAATTCGCAAAAGTTCAAGTATTGTAGCAGAAAAATGACAATCTCGATAAATTGAGTATTGTCGCAAAGTAGCTTGAGATTTCTTTAAAAATTACTCAAAGAAGGGAGATACCTAAAGGAAAAAGTAAATTCACGTGATCGAAGATACTTAAAATATAAAAATAAATTAAGTTTTTAGATATATCCTTTTCCAAAAAGGATATATTTAAGAAAAAATTGATAACATTTTAAATATTTATTTGGACTAATAAAGAGTACATATAAAGGCTTGCACGCGCGATACTTAATGCAGTAATTGTAGCGAAACACTTGTTATTGAAGGAAAATAGCATAAATTAATATTCTAGACCTCATCTCTTCGCGCGTCTGTTTTCGATGTATTGTATATTTGTTCATTTGTTCTTTGTAATGTAAATGACATATTCTAGATGACATTAGTTATAGATAATTGTGCACCGAAACAAATTTTCTTGTCATTTGATACGCATGTGACTTGCTCACGAGAACCGAGGATTTTACAGTTTAAAATCGATTAATTGTAAGTTACAAATTCTAAGTTATAAAAGTTCGACTATCAAATTCTATATCTAATTCAATTCTATATCAAATTCTAATCTATATTAAAATTTTTCTTTTTTACAATCATGCGTTGATTCACGTGACTGGGATTTTTGCAGAAATTATTGAACGCTCCGAGTGTACACATGCTTCATTTGTAAGAGATCTCACAAAAGAACGCCGCCGACTTTTATTAAGTTCTTATCTCATACTCTGTATGCTACCTGAATTTACAACGTTAAATATCTTCACCAAACATCTTGTTTATATAAGATATCAGTTTATTTACGTGTCCCTATAGAATTATATGTACCGATCGAGATTAGGATTAAAACTCTCTCTGACGTTATACCGTGTCGCATGATATGCAAAGTGTCACAAGACATGCTGAGCAATAAACATTTGTATAGGTAGTTTCATTTACCGAAAAATAATCAAGGAGAAATCGGTTACGAATCAGTGTTTTTGAAATATACCTCTAAAATTTTAAAAATATTTTTTCATAGATCTGAGAGATGCTGTTTATCAAATTTATAATTTATTCCGCGTGTATATCTTATATATAAAAGATGCTTCATTTAATTTTACTATTTGAAATATTTTTCTTATTAATTATTTCTTATTAAGAATACACACACAAAAATACGTTTTGGATCGAAATTATTTTAATCTAAAAAAAGCTCTTTATAATATAAGTTTATTCTAGAAGTCGGCTTTGAGATTTAAAAGTCACTTTTAGCTATTTTAAGTGGAATCATATAATTTACCTTTCATTTTATATGTATAAATAGATTAAATATAAAATATTTTTTTAAGTATTTTCACTCTTCAATAATTTTTTAATACTTTTATACGCAGAATATGACTCTCTGAAAGAATCGATTAATATTGCAAAAAAAGTTATGTTAAATATAAGAGGCTCCTTTAGGAACAAACTTTAATCTGAGATATTTTTTATATTTTTAATAGCAACGAAGATATTTCAAAAAAATGATCAAGTTAAATAACATATTCTGCACATTTCGCGTTTATAATATATACGTTATTTTTTATAGATTTCTACTCGATTGATCTCTTTTATATTTTTAATTGACAATTTTGTTTCTCTTAAGATATTTAGATTTAGAGCAAATAAGTCACGAAACTAGCAAACGCAATAATGATAAGGTTCGCGATGAAGAGTGAAAAAGATTAATGAAAAGGCAAAAGGTAAATTTGAATGCCGATATTTGAACAAGTGTGAATCCGACACGTTGTTTGTTTTCTGTCGAAACAAGACGAGCTCTCTCGCGTGAGTGCAAGAACGAAGGATAGTTCCCGGCAAGTATTTTGTTAACAACTTTTCTTAAATTTGTCTTTTCAAGTTATGACGAGAAGAATTTTTGCGCCGTAATAAAAACGCTCTCTCGCTACGGAATAATTTGCATTACTCTAATTCGTTAATTATACTGATGATTTGTACTTGCGAGAACCCCGAAGGTCGAATGTTATGCGCTAATAAGTTTGAAAGCAGCTATAAAATTTCACAAGGCTAAAAATAATATTACGCGAATTTTGCATCGTAATAAAAACGCTCTCCCGCTACGGAATAATTTGCATTACTCTAATTCGTTAATGATACTGATAGTTCGTCGCATTTGCGAGAATCCCGAAGGTCGAATGTTATGTGCTAATAAATTTGAAAGCAGCTATAAAATTTCACAAGGCTAAAAATAATATTACGCGAATTTTACCTTATGACGCCGTATTTCCTTGTGAACTATCATGTGAACGCGTTAAGACAGCTTCAGGCTTACATAAAGGATATATTATTCGCGAGAAACAAGAATAAAAAAAAAAGATGAATGGCATTAACGTATTTTCTTTTTTCTCTTCGTTTTGCATTATTTTACAATGTGTAAGACCCTTCAAATAACGATGACAGCGGCAGCATGCGCTACGAGCAAGTAAACTTTGCGGTTTTGCAAAATTTATGAAGCATATATTTTGTAAGAATCACTAACAACGTGACATTATCCAAGAGCTACTCCGCATGCAGCAAATTATCATCGTCTTTTGCAAAAAAAGCAAGAGTTTCAATTATTTATTAAGATTTTGTTATCATTTATACTGCATTTAAATCAGTCAGCACAGGAAAAGCGCTCTCTTTATAAACATCGAAATATTTTTTATCTGAACATATATTATATAATGTTGAGATGTGTATTTTATATATTATATATATTTAAATCTCCCCTAGCGTTCGCATATTTATCTAGTGACTGAGAGATGCGTCTATTAAATCCCTTGCGTTGAAATCACATTTTTCAGATTTTTTCGCGAACCGAAGATATCAAACTCGTCTCAACCACGTGGTCAACCGGTCATAACTTTATGATGAACTAACCACGTATATGAGACGTTGATATCTTTGGTTCGCGAAAAGTACAACGTCTGAGAAAAAGTGATTTTAATACAAAGGGCTAATGTATATATATCTAATATATATATATATATATATCATATTATAAAAATATATATCTCAATATATTTTCGACATGCGACTTGAACAGCGCGCGTTTCACATTTACCTTCGGTTACCGGCATGATATATTTTAGCTTTTCTTAATTTTTTTTATATTATTAATTAAATGAAGCGTACGGCTTACACTGTAGTCGCGTTCACAAACGATGGTAACCGCGACAGATAAACGAAGAACGCCAGAACGAAGACCCTTCCTCCGAGAGTCATTTTTAAATTTCCTTCGTCACTTAACTGTACAACTAATGAATTCTGACTGATCCTTCCTTGTAGCTCGCAAGTGTACTTGGGTGAGCAAATTTGTTGGAAACCAGACGCCCAGACAAACCTCACTCCCACTCTCTCATGGTGCTCCTCCAGACTCGTTTGAAGCACACACATATTCTTTGAGAAAATGTGTGACATCAACACACACATACATACATTTATTATGTATTTAAGGCTTACAATGTTGTATAGACTCTTGCACTTATCCGTAGTCGTTGTGTAATTGCAGTCTAACACAATGTATTAATTTAAACGCGCGACTTTAATATCAGATATCGTTAAACGTTTACTGCTTCCCAGAACAATCCATCTAATGTGTGATTATTTACTTATGTTGTGGAAAAATGCTACAAGTTCAATATAATGAACTTGATGATGATGATTCATGATTCACATTTCTATGTAAATAAATTTTTCTTATCTCCCTCCTGAACTTGTAAGCTTTATCACGATACGATTACGCATGCAGGTATATACGTCTTGCATCCATTTTCATTTTTAGCACTATTATTGTACAGTTTACTGCAAAAGTAATATTCGCTTAAAAATGTAATTTGTAATCAAATATAAATAATGATCTAATAAAAAATCAGTCAACATCTATATATATATATATATATTTAAAATAAAAGTT